GGTAAGAAAACCTCTGTGACGTCTTGCCTTCGAGTTGGTCTTGAGAGTTTGAGGTCTCCATAATGTCTTCTCGATTGACGATGCGGCGTTGGGATGGTGAGCCACCCAAATAGCTTATTCGATTGGGATGCGAATCTGTTTAGCGGCAGAATTGCGTCCGGGGGAAGCCCCTACACTATTTCAGGTGGCACTAGCTAGTTGTTGAAGATTATTAACCAATAGATCCGAATAATATTTGAATTAGATGGAAAATATGGAATGGGATATATTGAATAGAATGTCAGTGATGTCAGTGGCTAGGGGGCGGAGTACCCCCGGGTGAGTCTTACTATTTAACTATCAATTTTATCCAGATCAGTAAATGTTTGTTTTGTTATTTTCATGTACAATGAGAGAGTGCTTGCCAATGACCAACTAAATGGATATTTGAGGTGAATTTGCATTGTGAGACCCAGTTGAGTAAGCCCCAAAAATAACGATTTTACAAAATTTTGTTTAGAAATTATAGGTATTTGTTCTGTCTGGTCGCAGGATTAAGGAGACATTTCCAAAAATCCTTATTGTCCCTTATTATTCTTAATTCGCTGTATTGCCGGCATTTCCGAAGATGATATCTTTAGAAAACATTTTGTTTCATTCATCTAGTAAAGTTGATTCCGCAGCCCCCCCCCCCAACTGTATATACCTATGTAATATGAAACTCGATGTTTTTAGTGAATTTTAATGCTTTTAAAAAATAAAAACTGCTTAATTTCAAATTAACTAATACCTATTTTAAAAACTAATTAGAACTGAATAAATCAAAATTGAACAATGTGTATATTCAATACCGACTAGATCTATATCAAATTCAAATCTAATTGAAATAAAACAAAAACACTCAAATTCATTGTTGATAACTATACCAACATAAAGTCGTTATAGCGTGTAGGACGTAATAGATCTTTACAAATACAAACATCTCCAAATGCTATCGAAAAATGCCATAAATTTTAAGATATCGGACATAAAAATTGCAAAGTTGGCGTGGGAGCCTGTTTATACTGTGCGATGCGTAGTTAAAAGTGTTTGAACGATACAGATATTTTTAATTTTTATCCAGTAATAGGTACAATGGTTGAACGAACTTGTAATATCAGAAATTGAGATTAATCAAATAAGTAAGTGTACTGAGAATTAAAATAAAGATGTACCAAATATGTAACTAAATACATATACCAGTCGACATTCTACCAAGTGTTTGATTTGTCTTGAACCTGTTAATTGAAATCAAATAAGTGAACTGGTCAAATTTTAAGTATTAACTGTTAATTTATAAAATGGGTTATAACTTCAGAGTTTACTATGATGTTTTTTTTTGTTTTATTGATTCTTCTCCACCTAAAAATACACATACAGGTTGTTAATTTGTTTATTACTCGCGGCAAGAGCTTTATGGTTGAAATATGGCTACCTCGGCTCGCTGGTCAAGAAGAGACGACGCGACGCGACGGGACGAGTCGAGCTTAGCTTAGTACTCATTTGGAATTTAAACCACCCTGTGCAATAATTGCGTGAGTAACTTTTCCTAACACATTATTATTTTTCGATCAGAACCATGTCTCCCGAGCATTTAGTTTTTTGACTCATGTCAAGTCAACACATGCCTTGCTTACTTTTTAAGAGCGAAATGAACTTGCCACGAACAATTTGCAATTTTTTCAACTTTCATTACATTATGATGTTATTTTTTAAATCACGAGGTGGCTTTGGTGACTGCCATATCGACACTGATTAGAACTCTGTGATAAAATGTAAAAAGTGTTAAAAAGTAACGATACAGGTTTGGTTTTAATAAATATTAGTAACTACAAACAAACAAAAACTTGTAAAAAATACTCTAAAACTTTGTAATTATTGTTTTTATTTAATTTATATTTTTTATTATATTTAATTTATTTGTGTTATATTAAATATATTGTTTTATGTTTTCCCATTCTTCTTCAAGGATTATTGAAGCGAATATTGATAACTTCAGTCATCTTCAACAAGATCAATGACTTTTGCACAATCTTCGACACTAAGAACCTTATTCATGCGTATTCAATGTGAAAATTCACGTAATTCAATCGTACACAACAATAATCACCAAAGCCATGTCGTCATTATGAAGAATAACATCGAAAGGTAAGGATAATTGAAAAAATTGCAAAATGTAGCAAGTTCATTTTACTCTTAAAAATTAACCAAGGCATGTGTTAAAAATAAAATATTCAGGAGACATGGTTCTGGCCGAAAAATAATGTTTTAGGAAAATTTGCTCACGAAATTATTGCACAGGGTGTTTTAAAGATAGGGTAAAAAACAACTCTTCGATTAACCCTGTATAATAAGTCAAATATTATAGTTTATAATAAACTGAGTTTACGAATTAAAGTTCATACATTTATATACAATTTGCTAAAAAATCAATAGGGCTAAAAATTAAAAAAAAATAACATTTTAAACAAGACCAAAAATTTTTGCGTTGCGTTTTTTGCATCTCAAATAACTAAAAGAATATAGAACTTGTTCCAAATTTGACAAGATGATCTTTTTGGCATCGAATTGTAATTTTACACTGCCCATTCAAAATTACACCAGGTTACCAGATATTCAAGCAAACTAATTTGTACAACAAATTGCCAGGTGTTGATTAGATACAAAAACGATACAAAGTAAAGATAAACTCGTTATCAGTACCTATATTGTAATTTTTTAGCAATGCATTAAGCAATATCTAGACACGGTAATAAATGTAAACACAGAAAAATGAATCGGTACCTATATGTTTTGTTGTTTATATTTCTTATCTCTAAAGTGTTTATACGTGTTTTTTTCACTACATATTATGTTGTATAAACTAAACCGGTGCTTGTCAGATATAACACCCTCCGAATTTTGTACTTTTTTTTATATCACTCGAAAGCATACATCGAAATAAGTATTTCAAGCCAAAAAAAAGTGTGGATGATCCATAATTTAATGAAAAAATAAACATCTAATTATTGCTACAACAGGCTACTTTCTATGCGAAAACTCCTCCAAATTTTGTCGGCGTTGCCAGATTCATTCATTTCTTCTTGAAAGGTTCATTAAAAAAACACGTGCTGGTCGGAAGAAAACTCACGTTAACAACAGACTATGACAACAGATTATTTTAAAATCAAGAAAAGGCGATCGTCTGAGGAACTGCTCCTACCCATAGCTGATATTTTGCCTACGAGATCTGACTATTTATAACTACAAAGTTGCACGAAAGAGTTTTGATTGCGTTGGTTTCAACTTGTTTGGGGGTTAATCTGTTGTTTTTTTATATTTTAATACGAATCTGAGTGCTTTCAATGTCTTGATTTTAAAATAACTTATAATCTGTTCTTATCGTGACAGCGCTACTGTATAAGGATTTGTTCGTCCGGCGACCGGCACGTAAAATCAAGTGAAAGCAATCAGATTCGTATTAAAATAAAAAACAAAACAAAAGATTAACACACTCACGGAAAGGTTGAAACCAACGCAATCAAAACTCTTTCGGTCTCAACTCTTTTTTTGTATCATGTAACGTACCGAATGATCGAAAAAAAACGGCGTCAGCCATGGCTATGAAATGAACATCGCTGTCATTTTATATGTAAAATTATATGGGGAATGTCATCGATCGTCATTCCAAGCCAGCTGGACGCCGTTTTTTACGATCATACGGTATTATGTATACAAACAAGAAATAACTTTTGGCAACAATGCTTAGGCAGCTTACATTCTTAACAACAAATGGTGACAGACGGCTCCGGCGGCAAGTTTGAATCGAAAGAGTAAATTGATCAGGCAAATATTACAAAATATATCACCAACTCTATTTTTGACTTATGACTTATTAATGCTTCTCACTGATTAATTCTGACCTTTATATTAATAAAAAATGCATATAATCGTCATATTTTACAATAATTACACGCTTATACAACTTCACCATAACCTAAAAATGCACTTTTAATTTATTTATTTTTCAATAATTTGTGGTTCATCCGCAATTTTTTTTTGCTTAAAATTCTTATTTAAGTGTATGCTTTCGACTGATATATAAATAAATGCCAAATTCGGAGGGTGTTATATCTGACAAGCACCAACTAAACCATATTCGCAATAATATTGTGTAAAAATTTCGTGATTCACATTCTCCTTATACAATATTTTCTGAAATTTCAGGAAATTCCCTACTTAAATCGAATTATCGTCTGTTTTCCTTTACAAGTCTTCTCTATTGGATTGCTGTGAGTCATCGTTTCAAAACTAATGACAATCTCACCCCCGTTTGACATTTACGCCCCCTTAGAAAAAAACACGTTTGTTTATTTATCGGAATATATTCCAAAACTCGGGTGTGGCATTCAATACACACATACATAATAGGCATATTTAACATTTTTTGAACTCTTTAATTTGTGAGGTTAAAATAAGGGGATGTTAAATGCAGATGACTAATTAATTAAAAAGAATATATTAAACAAAAGAGAATCGTAATAATATAACAAAGAATTATCAGTCTTCGTGATTAAAATAGTGTCATTAAATAAAGAAATCAAACAATAAGTTTACATAAAATTTTTGAAGATATATTAAAAACCCTAAATCCTGGCAACAGATGATAACAGTTGGAGAAAGAAAACCTACCAAGAATGCTTTTTATGACTGCTTGAATATTTATCAGCACCTGTGCAGGTAAAATACTTGTTAGTCATCTACAAAGGACAGGTTTTCGAGGTCCACCGTTCTGGCCAGACGACGGTCTAACCTGTGACCTGCCCATTTGGCACTTTTTTCACCGGTAAAACATCTGCTATCTTCAAATTAAATTTGCAAACTCTCGGCGCAATTGCACGGAGAAATACCGATGCAATTCAATTAAGAAAACCGCAACAAATTTTTCGCAGTACTAATGTTGCGATTCGGAGCTAAGAAAATGGGTAAATTTTTCGACTTACCCAAAGTTCGGTGCCCCAATTCGGGCTCTCCACGGCGGACGTCATGTTAATCCAAATTTAAGAAACACTGAACGGCACAAACACTTATTGTTTAAAGATTTTTACGTGTAAACACTATTTTTCGATTGACAACCCAACATGGCTGTTTTACAAAATCAACTGACGCTCGATCTCACTTGCACACAATCGGAAAACGATTGACAATTGCGAACATGGGAGAAAGAGAGATAGAAGGAGAGTTAATGGTGGTTGCATATATTTGAAATATATAATATTATTGAAAATATATTTCATCTTTTTCTTTATTATAAAGATATATTTAAGTTATAATAAATTAAATTTATTATAAAATGATCAAACTTTACTCTAGTGTATAAATTACTACTCAGTAAGGCGTACATTTGATATTTATGAGCAATAATTTTATAAATTTAAATTATATGTTTTGATATATCAGGCAACCAATTATACAAATCCGATTTTACAATAAAACTTATTTTTAAAAACATTTATCTCAACTGCCGTTTTTAGTAAAGTTGGTTAATAAAAATAGTGAACGATTTTTAATTTTATTATTTTATAAAATAGTGACATACAGAATAAAATAAAATTATTCTATATATTTTAATAGATATGCAGGGCGAATCAGATATATTTTGACACTAAATTTATAGTTTTTTTAAATGGAATGTGTATTTGTTTGTATAATAATGTCCCTTTTAAAGCCATTATTGCATGATATACAGAGCGAGTTAAAACTAAATGTTTGCATTTTTTTGAGGGATTAATCACTTATAAAATTATTTTGTTTTAGAAAAAAATGTAAACACATCTAAATAATAATATCCTATAGTATCAAAAATTTATTGTGTATTTATGTAACTGAAATATATATAACACAGCAGTTTATCTCTTAAGCTCACAGATATCAGAGCAATAAAACGTTTAAAACAAAATTGATAAGTACACCTTAATACATGTAGTTAAAATTTCATAAAATAATACAAATAAAATAAAGAAAAAATATTATTCATTACACTGCACATAATTTGCTGGAAAAAGTCCATATTTTCCTTTGCACAATCCCCTCCACCATCCTTCATCAATCTGTAAATAAAACATTATCTGATTTTTACTAATATACAGGGTGTAACCAAAATTCCCAAAAATCATTCTTATTGGTAGTAAATTTGAAAAATGTTTTTTTTTAGATATGTTGACTATTAAAGGGAAGTTATTCAGAACTATATTTTATATCTACGTGCCAATATTTATAAATATACAGGGCCTTTAAAAAAAAATTATAAATTTTTGAGAAAAAAAATGTCATACAATGTTACCTTTTCAATATGTGTAATGACATCATCTGGATCAAATGATATTTCATCATCTGCAGCAGCTTGATAGTCATACAATGCAATAGCTGTAATTCCTGTATCCACAATATCATCTTGGTTATAATATTCTGGTTGAATTGGTACTGAAACTTGAGCCGCAATCTCACTTGCTTTAGGTGGTTGCACTTCTTCATACTCTGCCTCAGGTTCCTAAGAAGATAAAAAATTAAAAAATCTCATGCAGTTGTACCAATAAAAAAACGTACTTCCTGAGAAAACTGTTGTGGTGGTTGAATTTTTTCATTATTGTCATAGATATTTTGAGGTTCTTCTGTGTTATCTTCAGTATCATCTTGTTTCTGCCTTTGTAGTTGTCTTAATAATTCTAATTCTTCCTTTATTGCATTATTAGAACCTAAACTTTCAACTTCAGCACTTTGTGCATTAGTAAACTGAGCTATTTTAGTCTGATCCATTTTTTGTGGTGTCTGCTTTCCAGGCTGGGACTCTACAAACAGCAACAATACATTTCATTTAAATAAACGCGATTTTAGTGACAAAATATATTTGATCACACTGTATATCTACAAAAAGATGAAAACATTTTAAAATGTGTACACTCTGTGTAAACAAGAATATTATTTACCTAAGTTTGTATTTTTAGTTAGGAAAGCCGTTTTTGATGAGTCAAGATGTTTAGGAATAACATGTTTTTCTGGTGAAGACGTAACAGAATTATCCTGACTATTTTGGCTAAACATTACAGCCTTTGCATGCACAGTCTTTTTAGGTGCAGGGGAACTAGTTTGTGAGCTTGACTGACTCTTTTCTGAATCTTTTGAACCCTAAATAAATTAAAAAGGTAATCTTTTTAAAAATAATGCTAACTTCTTTATATTTTTACCATAGTTTCAAACCTGGCTCTTAATTCTGATGGTTTTGCCCCAGCAATATCTGGTTTAATTTTAGTGTAGTTTGTGCCAACTTTTGTTGAATGTTCATCAAAACCAGCAGCTGATTTGTCAACTCTATATAAATTGGTATATCTTATAAAAAACCTTATTAAAACTGTTGTAATAATTACCTATCTGTTTGCAGACCAAACTTTCCACCAAACCCTATTTTATGATCTGTCTGACTCTCGTGCTTTTGTGGAGCTTCATGGTGGTCCCAGCCTACAGCAGATTTATCCTGGCGATCAGTTTGCACACCAAATTTGCCTCCAAACCCTTTAACATAGTCCTTTTGGGAGTCATGCTTTTCTATCTTCTCTATATGGTCCCAACCAACAGCAGATTTGTCTTGGCGGTCACTTTGGACTCCAAATTTGCCACCGAATCCCGAAACATAATCTTTTTGGGATGCATGTTTCTCAATTTTTTCCTTATAGTCCCAACTCACAGCACTTTTATCAACTCTATCAGTTTGTATTCCGAATTTTCCACCAAAACCTGATGAGTAATCTTTCTGAGAGGCATGTTTTTGTAGTTTTTCTTTGTATTCATGACCAACTGCACAAGAGTCCATCCTGTCTGTTTCAATACCAAATTTGCCTCCATATCCATAAGACGGATTGTCTGTACCTTCTTCCAGTGCTTTTTTCTTATGTAAAGCATCTGCTTGTTCCGTTTCTCTTCTCAGTTTCTCCATGTCGATGGCCCCAGCTGTTCTACCGGACCCTTCAACAGTGGTGGAGCCCCACCTTTGTTGTTGCTCGTCAACATCATTGATGAAATCTGGATCAGTTTCCCAATCGTCATCTTCAGTGTTTTGATTTATATTAATTTGTTGACCTGCAGCAGCTTTCCACATTTTGTCAAATTAGAGTTAAGTATGTTAAATTGAAATTAAGTCCTATAAATACACTAATAAATTTACTGTAAAATGTATGGTCTTCTGGATACTGTTTTGTTCACCATAGGTAAATCTATAATCTATTGTTGACGCCCCTATTCAATTTTTAGTAATTTTCGTTTTCTAGAAATTAAACTGTATACTTAACAGAACAAATATTCAAATTTAGCTCTTTATTTTGACCCACCCGATTACTTGTTTATCAATTTTCTTCATTGATGACACATTTTTAGGAGCTTGGTTGAAAATTTTTTTATTAAAAATAAATATGCAACAGTATGCAACCATACATACGTCAGGTGAGTAAGAAGAAGATAATTTTGATTATTTTAATCAAACAATTGTAATATTAAAACATTAATCTGTGGTTTAATTTTTTAAAACTGTAAAATACCACATGTTAGAAGCTTCTAATTTATATACACGCAAATTTTGGTATAATATACCCAAATTTTTAAGGATTTTACAGTTTTTAAAACTGTAAAAATCTCATTGGAGTATAAAAAATCGATTTTTACATACAATTTTTTATACTCATCCCTTTATATTTTTAATACAAATAATCTATGGCGGCACTCATTGCCAACTTCACTTCGAATTTGTTTAATTAGTCTATGGTTTGTTTTGGCGCATTGTATGAAAGTTATTTTGTAATATTTTCTTGTAAATGTATTTTTAAAAGTGCATAAATGAAGCTACTTACATTACCTTCGTTTTTATTACTATTTTTTGAAACGGCAATTCTAAGTAATTTCGTGACTGCTGATACTAACGGTGAGTTTATTTTAAGGTTAGAGTATACAAACATTTTATAGTACAATTTTTTTTTCTCTATGATATATTGTTACTTATTTTGCTTTTAGTACACTACCTGGACAACAATGAATTTTTTAAATTTAGTAATCCCAGACAAATATATGGAACAAAACCGCTACACATATTTTGTTATCAAGGAAAACCAAAATATATTATTCACATTTGGCAGAGTGTTATTGTAAGTCCTTATTTATCGAAGTGTATTTGTTATAAATCTTTTTAACTTGTTCTAGTTATACATTAATCATTCAACTGATGACTATAATCAGTTTGATGGAGGTTCACCTGAACATGTCGAAAAAGAGTACTTGGAAAAGAGATACAGTTGGACTAGCGGGCTTTTCTCTTCAAAATCGAAAACCTTTCATTTGAATCCTTTTAATACAAGCTGTATTGGTATTGAAAGTCAGGATACCTATTCTGTTCATTTAAAAATTATAAGTAAGAGAAAATATGGATAATTAACTTTTAGTTTACAGCTACTAAAATAATTTTAAAATTTTTAGGAGTGGATTTGTGGAACATTTTGAAGTTGGTTGCCGGTATAGTGTTTTTTCTTAGTGCACCCACTCTAAGTAAAAATACATTGTTTCATTATGTTTGTGGTGTTTCATCTGGAGTGTGTGCCTCATTCTTAATTCTGATTTATTTTCTCAGCAAATTATTTCCTAGGGTAAGCCTAAACTTTTTTTACTTATAAAGATAATATCAGTAAACAAAATACCTATCTTTTATAGAAGACATTTATGTATGGAGTTATTGGAGCAGGATGGACTCTTGTTATTTACTTTCTCCAGATATTATGGGACAATATGAAAACTATATTATCTCTTTATCGGACATATGTCATTTGGTATATAGTTATTACAGGAACTATAAGTTTTATATGTAAGTAAACTGCTGAAATAACTTGTTTTAATATTACATATTGTATATGTTGTGTTATAGTATGTTATCGATGGGGGCCTGTCCAAAATCAGAGAACCATGAATTTAATCAAATGGAGTTTACAATTATTAGGTCTTTTATTGATATTTTTCAGTAGTCATTTTCAAGAAGCTGCTATGGCTCAAGTGATATTGTTGCTTCTGTTCACATATGTACCTAAAAGGTGGGTTTTGGCCCCAAAAATGTATTGGTGAGTATTTGTATTTTTCTCCTGAACTGAATAGTACATTTTATCTAAAATGTTACAAAATTTTAAATATTGTAATATTTCCTATTTTTTTAAGGAAGAAAAGATTTCCACCAAAGTTGAAACCAATATCGAACGATGAATATTATGAACAAGGGGTACGAGAAACAGCAAAAGCTTTGGACGATTTAAGAAAATACTGTTCCAGTCCTGAATGTAATCAGTGGAAAACTGCATTAAAATTAAAAGACGTTAAAAGGTAATGTATTATCAAAAAAAAAATGTCATCGTAGTAACCTTTGAAATGACAATCACTGTAATTTTTAAAAATTCACTAAAAACTGTCACTGTCACAATGTCATTTGAGCTGTCACTATGACGCGCGTTTTTCCGATTGTATGGTATTTTTAATCTTTAAAATACGATTCAATAGTTTTCTATTAATTGATAGGTTTGCCTCATTCATTGAAGGCAACTCTCATCTCTCTGATGAGGAAATTCTGGAATACGAAACGTCGATTAGAGAAGAAGTGACAGATGACAGTGATAATGGGGAAGATGCTCAATTTTCGGAAGATGAAAGTAGTTAAGTTTCTAAAGACTGATTTACTTACTAACGAAGTTTAAATTTGTGTAGTTTGTCTTATCATTTAAGTGTAAATAAGTAAATTAGAATGTTTAATATTTATTTTCGTTCTTACATCTCATTTTGTAATTTTAACACTACTGTAAAATACCACATGTAAGTTACTTTTAATAAAGGACCATTTTGTAAAAATGTTATTTTTGGCTGTAAAATTAATTTAATTATAGCAATAAAAAGATTTCATCATTTTACACATCTCTATATCTCTGACTTTATCTTTGGATAGCCCTAAACATGGATGGGAACTAAAAAACCATCCATATTTCTTTAACCTGTAAATGTAAAAAACTTACCTCCACAGTCTCACCAAGATGTAGATCTACTCTTTGGTCTCACAGTAAAAACTCATCCCTGATTTATGGACACAGCTGATTTTAACGAAATAAAAATTTGACATTTCATGAATGCAACCAGGAAAACATATTCTCCTTTTTAAATCAGAGACAAGAGACAAATAGAAGTGTGAATAAATAAATGGAAAATTTCCATTTAATATTATTTTTATCCATGTTAAATAAACAAGGATAACTTGTAACTATACATTTAGTTAATATTTGAAATAATATAATTTGTATAATTGTAATACAAATCCAAGATTTTTATATCAAGTGTTGTTATGAATCGCTGATCAGCCTGACCTGAATATTATCAAAAGAGTTAATGTTTGTTTGGCAACATAGATAAGGAAGACAATTTGGAACCGATTAAAGAGCTACATAAAATATAATGCTTGATACAATAGAACGGAAAATTACGTAAATAGGTTAGGTATTTAAAACTGAATCCAAGTATGCTTACTCTCAAATTCAGAAATTTTCTAAAGTTATCCAGATCGCTAAATGGCCTTGTTAGAATTGCATGTGACGAAGTTAGTTTGACCAGTTGTCAAACAAAGTATTTCATCAGGTTATATCAGACTCTACACCGAGAAGAAGGACCAGGCACTGAAATGGGGACCAAAAATTTCTTTAGTTTTACAGACTATGACTGTATTGGATTTGATTTAGACAATACCTTAGCTAGATACAAAGTAGGTGCTATGATAGAAATGGAATACCATATTTTAGCAAATTATCTAGTTGATAATAAGGGATACTCAGCCAGTCACTTACTAAAACCTTTAGACCATAATTTTATTATAAAGGGATTAATTGTTGACGATGAAAACGGCAATCTCCTGAGAATATCAGCTGATGGTACTATAATTCAAGCTACACACGGTACTAAATTTTTAACTGAAGAAGAAATAAAAAAGTATTACCCTAATTTACGCTGGAAGGCCACAGATTTATTCGCAGAAAACCCTCTTCAAACCTGGAATGGCCCATATTCAGAAAAAATGCGCACTTTACTAGATTATTATGATATAATTGCTAGTTTAGTTTTTGCTAGAGCTGTGGATTCTATTGACGAAGATAGTTCCGAAATCAAACTGTATAATATTTGGCCCGATTTATTGGAAGCTTTACAAGATATGTTTACCAGGGAGCATTTTCAGAACGAGCAAGGAAAGTATTTTGCAGAAATAAAAGCAAACCCTGATAAATATTACTACAAATGCAGTAATCACTTGTTAAACTGGATAATGGCTCTTAGATCAAAAGGTATAATAACCTTTTTGATAACAGGATCATATGTTGATTTTGCCACACACACCGCAAGTCATACAATAGGACAATTCTGGAGGGATTATTTTGAAATTGTGATAAGCTATGCGAAAAAACCTGGATTTTTTACAGATAAAAATAATTTTATTGGTCTTGATGGATTCTCAGAGACTGGTCCTGTAAACCTGGATGATTTGAGGTTAGGCGGAATCTATACACACGGTAACTGGACTGATTTAAAAGACTTTTTAAGGAAATGCTGTTCAAAAAAGGATCCTAAGTTTTTGTACATCGGGGACAACTTGGTACAGGACATCTATGCACCTCATGTGTACGCAGGCTGTGAGACTGTAACAGTTTGTGAAGAACTCGAAGCGGAGGGCGTGTACGGACATGACAAGTGGCATCCAGATGAACAGTTTTTGTGTTCGACTATTTGGGGCTCTTATTTTAAATGTAGTAATTCTGGAAGGTTAACTAATTGGTATGAAATGATGAAGAAGCATTCGCGATTCTTTGTTCCTAGTTTAGAATATGTTGCCGGTTTTCCTATTGATCACAAATTTAAAGTTAATATTTATTAATGCTTGATTGTATTGTATATTATGTGTTCTATAACATGGATTGTTTTTATATATTTTAAGAAATTGTAAATGTGTATATAATTATTTTTAAACAATAATTAAATAAATTAATATTTAAAATAAAAGACGTTAATTAATATATATGTTTGATTTTTCAATTTCTCATTTGGACTATGCCTATGTTGCCATATTAATTAATATGAATTTTTAAAAGTACTTGAATAAATAAAAAAGTATTTCAGGGCCTAGCATGGGCCTAGATTCAAGAAGTATCGCAAATATATGAGTTTCTATTATACAGGGTGTCCTAGAAATAAGTGCAAGTATTTTAAGTGGTGGTAGGTTTCGACAAAAGAAACATATTTTCTCTTTGGCGTTTTTCAAATAATTCCAAAATAACGGAGTTATTTTATTTTGAAAATTTCCAAAGAAAATGATTTTTTGCTAAAATTTTGAGAACCACTAGATCTTTTCTGGATTTTCTTTTTTGTAAATTTAATCTAATACCTATGTTGCCATATTATCAAGAAATTGTGTTTTTAACTAAAAATTAAAAAAAATTCCAAAAAATTTTTCAAAAAATTCCGAATTTTCAAAAAAATGTTATCGCGAAAAAAACCTCATTTCTGGGGTTGAACTATACTACCAGTTAAAATATTTGCACTTATTTCTGGGACACCCTGTATAGGTGTGCACATAGACTTAAAATAAAATTGTAAGTCTATGGGTGTGCACTTTTCACCATCAGTTTTTGTTGTATTCATCAGCTTATTAGATTTTTTTTACCAGAAACCCCCCCAATTTTGATATTACTTTTCAGCCATCAGAAGCTATTTTTTAACTCAATTCGTTTTTAGTGTGGGTTATTGAGGCTAGGAATGTAGACAAAATCTAGGTAATTTATGAAGTGGCAACGTGGCAAACCCTTTCAGATTTTTTCAAATTTTAGATAAACCTGCAGCTCTAAAAAGTTCTCAAAAATATAATATTTTCAAGATTATTTTCACAAAAAAATAATCATCGCTTTGCTTTAATATGAAATATACTACCAGTTGATATAATTGCACTTATATAAGAAATATCTTAATCTATACAGGATGTTCTAAATAGTCTGACCTAAATTTCATTAACAATTTAAAGTCTCAAAACTCTTGAATATATAAACAAGTATACTTCGGAGTTTCTGTCTGGTATTTGTAAGTCACTGAGTATCTGAATAAAACATTTATAATACTTGAATGCATATATTTTCGGTGTAACAAAGCTTTATGAAGATCTTGACTTTCCGTTGAACAACTCTAATTCACTTCCGCCAAAAGATTTCGGTTTAAAAAATATGTCAGATAGAAGTAATTCATCCGAATTAACAAATTCTTTATTCTTGGTATCTCCACATTGGGCAGACTCCAATATGGTTCTTTTGTCACTAAAAGATAACAATATAAATTGGGTTTAGAAGATATGTATAATCAAAGGATTTTCAGATCTAGTACCGAAGTACCTAAATAGTATCAACTCTAAAAAGTACTTTAAAAATATAAGATTTTCATTATCTTAAGGGTTACTAAAGTTGTAGAACATAGATAAACATAATAGGTTTGCTATCGTATATTAGAATTTTCTATTAATGATTACAAGGAATTTTTTGATTTTATAAAAAGTACCTACTACAAGAGTTTTGTACAATTAAAATTAATTATATATTTTTAAGACAAATCTAAATATATCATTATCTCTTATGTATCTATATCCTGGTTTTTTAGAGTTATAAAATTTTAATATAAAAGTCGCCTTTTGGCAACACTGTCTTTAAAATAATATCATGGTCTAATAATTTTAAGATTATACACATATAATATGCAGGGTGTGTAAGTAAATAAGTACAAAAAAATTAAGAGAATTTTTCAATTATATTCTATCAAGAAATTGGTAATTGTAATTATATATACAGGGTGTCCCAGAAATAAGTATTTTAACTGGGTGTATAAAAAACAACCTCAGAAACACGCCTATGAGGTTTTCTTCGCGAAAAAAATTGAAAATTCGGAAATTTTTGAAAAAATCTTTGGAATTTTTTTAGTTTTTAGTTAAAAAACATAATTTCTTGATAATATGGCAACATAGGTAGTAGATTAAATTTACAAGAAAGAAAATCCGGAAAAGATCCATTGGTTCTGAAAATTTTAGTAAAAATATTTTTTTTGTAAATTTTCAAAGTAAAATAACTCCGTTAATTTGGACTTATTTGAAAAACGTCAAAGAGAAAATATGTTTCTTTTAGCAAGATCTACCATCCCTTAAAATAGTTGCGCTTATTTCTGGGACACCTCAAAACAAATCTTCAAACACCATCTCAAAACAAATGAGAAAATAAACTTTTCATTTTATGTTCACTCACCCTGTATATTATTACTGTATATCACGATTTCTTCAATTAACGATATGATATAAAAGGTGTTTTATCGTATCGTTAATATACTAGACTTACTTATCAGTTTGAACCACACCATACATTATTTCCGGCTTGTGACAACCCTGTAAAACCAACTGATTGAGTTCGTTAACGATTTTCACAGCGTGCTTCAGTTTCATCTTGTATTTCGTTGTTTTTTCCGCATTGTCTTCGTTCTGCGCTTTCAAAGTTTCATTCTCCAGCTTCAGCTGCTCGATTTCGTTCTCCAAGCAGCCGATTCTTTGTAGAATGCTTAATTCGTCTTTTTTGTGCAGCTTTTTTAAAGTATCGTTTTCCTGTCGTAACTTTTTAACCTGCGAATACGAGGGGTTTTCTTAAATAAGTTCAAGTATTTTAAGGGATGGTCGATCTGGATAAAAGAAACATATATTTTCTAGTTACCATTTTTAAAATAAATTAAAAACATTCCAGTTATTTAACTTTGAAAATTTAAAAAAATCATGCTCACATTTTGAGGACCGCCGGCATTATGACACAATTCAGCTTATTCGACTCGCTGGGTTGCCACATGGACTAAAAACTCATTTGTTGAAATTACTGTATCTATAAGGATAAAAATCATCTTATCCGATAGTCAAGCAGCACTAAACGCCATCAACTTAGTAACCATCAATTCGAAGTTGGTCAAAGAATGCCTAGAGAAGCTGAACAAATTAGGCAAAGAAAATAAAGTCCTCCTACTTTGGGTACCCGCTCACCGAGGGATAGAAGGCAATGAAAAAGCAAATAATCTAGCTAGAAAAGGAGCGAACAATCCACTAACTGGACCAGAACAGTTCTGTTTTCCAAGCGAAAATCAACTAAAGGCGGAACCGAGGAACCTGGAAGACTTCATCCGTAACCTGGAATGAGAGGTTCTCCAACGGTCTAAGAAACTCGAAAAAAGTTCCTCAGAACTTTTACGACCGAGAAAAATCAAAGATTTTCCTTGATTTAAGTAAAAACAATCTTCGGATTGTCACGGAGTTTCTAACAGGACACTGTCTCCTCAACGAACACCTCAGTAGGCTGAAGCTGAGGAACAACGGCGAATGCAGATTCTGTGGGGAAAATGGGGAAACGCCAAAACACCTTATCACTGAGACGACGACCGTTCGTGCCATGAACTTTGGTACGGCTGATGTTGAGGATGGGGAGCTGGCCTCTGTGAAGCCGTCTCAGATACTGGCTTTTGTTAAAGCTCTGAGACTGTATGATGAGTTTTAACACCTGTAAGGTCGCAGTGATTAACTCCTCTCTTAAGGGGAGCTCCCTTTTGAGAGCTGTAACTTCTTCGGGAAGCATTTTGGGACATACATTCATAGAAACTATGATTATTATTAGTTCCCAGTAGTTAGTACGCAGAAAAAAAAATCGTGGGTGTTTGGGAAGGCTTGAAAGGAAACAATGTTTTTGGGACGTTTCGCGACTTTATTGTCGCTTCTTCAGGCACTATAGGAGATGCAGCTTTTTTAAAAAATATCAAAATAAAATTAACTGGCCACTTACCCAAAACATATATTAATCCATATTATGCCTACAAACATTCATGGCGATTCCAACCGCCAACACTAAGACACATACAGACGAATCGAACAGAAACTTAACGGGTATTTTTTTGGCTCGATATACACCGATGCTCGGTTTGTGTCGTACTGACACCAGTTGAATTAATTTCGGTACCAAAAAAAGGATTGATTTTTTGTTTCGTTTATCATTAATTTCTTTCCCCGTGTCTCTGGTGCTCTTAAGAGCCCTAGTCAATTCCCTATATGTGCAGGCCGTTCGGCATCGCCATAAACAAACAAATGGAATCATAAAGTGGGCCTGATAATAATTAAAATTAAATTTAAATTATTTGTCAACAAATAAAAGATAAAAGACTAAAAAAATATTAAAAATTAAAAAAACATAAAACATAAAAGAAGCAAAAAAATGCGTTTAGTTAAAATCGAATTAAAACTAAAATAAATAATACATTGAGTACACAAGTAGGTATATATTATGTATAAACAAAAATAATTAACAGGTGTAGATAAAACAACCACAAAACTTCAATGTGGCAATATCAATACTGACAATATTGCCATAACAATAACTCTGCACAAGGAAAAAAAAATACACACAATCGCGACGGAAAAAGTAAGAGAGCTTTAAAGAAATACCCGTTAAGTTTCTGTTCGATTCGTCTGTATGTGTCTTAGTGTTGGCGGTTGGAATCGCCATGAATGTTTGTAGGCATAATATGGATTAATATATTTTTTGGGTAAGTGGCCAGTTAATTTTATTTTTATATTTTTTAAAAAAACTGCTTCTCCTATAGTGCCTGAAGAAGCGACAATAAAGTCGCGAAACGTCGCAAAAACATTGTTTCCTTTCAAGCCTTCCTAAACATCCACGATTTTTTTTCTGCATTCATAGAAACCTTTTGTTTAATTTTTATCTGTAGAATCATCCACCGAAGTTAGATACTCTATTTTTTGACACCCTGTATACCAACTTAAAATTAATTTTCGTAGTTGTTAATGTGTAGAAAACTTCACACAAAAATGCAGAATATGGGTGACGTAGCCGGTGCAACATTGCAAAACGATCAAGAAATTTCCGGGGAATGAACCTGCGGCGCTAAAAAGTTTTTTATTTCATTTTTCAATTAGATTGATTAAAAAATGAACAGAAGCCGGATCAAGATATATCGGCAGCATATTTTACCAATTCTACTTAATTAATGATTCCAGTCGTTATTATTAATGATTCCAGTAATTACCAAATTTACCTCTTCGGCATAGGATTTTTGCTGTTCTAGACACTTCTTGCTGCTCTCTATCAGCTGCTTCTCGTTCAGTTTGACTTGTTCTTGTAAATTAGCGAAATCTTCAACAAATTTTCTTTCTGTATATGCGGAACGTTTGACCAAATCCATATTTTTTGTGTTCAATAAAACAATTTCTTTTCTTAAAGCCTGATTTTCCTGTTCCAATTGCTCTTTTTCAAATAGCAATTTATCGGCGTCTTGAGATTTCACAGATTTCTTTTTTTCAACTGTTTGATTTTTAGACATGGAATTTCGGACGAAATTGGTTTGTGACATTTTCGAAATTTTGAAGAACTTTTTGTGACACGTAGCGCATTCTATGTGACAAGGCATTTTTAAATGTCTTATTGGGACAAGACGTTTGCACATCTTTTTTTAAGCTATAGATGAAAATAACCGAGTTATACAGGGTGAGTCTTAAATAAGTGCAAATATTTTCACAGAACTGGTAGATATCGATAAAAGAAACATATTTTCTCTTTACCGTTTTTCCAAAAAAGATCAAAATAACCGAGTTATTTTACTTTTAAAATTAAAAAAAAAAAGATTTTTTGTTTAAATTTTGAGAACCACTGGATATTTTCTGGATTGTCTTGCTTGTAAATTAATCCACTACCTTATAATGTTGCCATATTATCAATATAATATGTGTTTTAACTAAAAATTTGAAAGTTTTTTTCGAAAAATTCCAAATTTTTATTTTTTTTCGCTTAAATTTTTAGTTTAAACACATTTTCTTTTAGTTGAAACACATATGTATCTTAATAATACGGCACTTTCGACCCCTAAAAATATTTGCACTTATTTAAGACACCCTGTGTATTTTTTAAGAAAAAAAGAATGAATGTGTTAAAAACCGAATTTTCACTTATAATATCACAAGAGCTTAAATTATTTTCGGAAATTTTTTTGAGGGCACGAATATTTTGAAAATTATCCCGAGTCGAAGACGAGGGATAATTTTCCTAAAATATTCGTGCCCGAAAGAAAATTTCCAGGAATAATTTAAGCTTGCGTGGTATTCGGTAAGAAAATTTCACACCTAAATTTGAAAAAAAAATATTAATCCAACATGACATTTTAAAATAATTTCAATTTGTTAAGTTGGCCAAGGTATTGCTAAAACTCAAATGGGTAATATTTCAATATATAGACATTGTAGTTCATTCACATTATGATTGTAGATCTTATGTTTACCTTTTCAACTGTCAAAAAATTTCCACTAAAGTTTCGTGGCGCCTCGAAAAAATTTCCGGAAATTTTTTCAGTTGCCATGGTAACTAGTCAACATTAAAGCATGTTATTGGTTGAAAAGTAGAGGTGTGAAATTTTCAAAAAAAAAAGTTTAAAAACCAACGTGTTAGACTCGATTATATTTAGCCAATTTACAATCAAAGATTCACTAGAATATAGAGTTTAATGTACTTTTATTCAAAAAAAAAATGTGTCAATTTCTTTTGATTAAATTATATTTTTAAGTAAGTAATGTAATTTTTTAATTTTTTTCAATGGCTAATTCAACACAATTTGTGACGTCACGAAAATAGGCAGGCTTATAGCGTCATGTGTATTTTTTCTTGAATATTGAAGAACTAATAGAAAAATTGTTAAAAATAGGCAGCATATATCAATATGAAATATATAAATGGCGACACAAACCTTTTCAACAGTTCTAGATAAGTTAAATTTTTAGTTTCTTAATTTTTTAAAGAAGTTAGAAAAGAGTAAATTTGATATATTGTAATGTAATAAAATGTTGAATAATAACAGTTTCAAAAAGTCATAGAAATACATTTAAATATTTAGTCATAATAATATATTTATTAAGTAAATTAACACTAGAGCAATAACAAAATTTTAGTTTAAAGCTTAAAAAATATAAATACATAGCTTATAAAATATTGTAAGGCACAAATTATAGGAAGAACACAAGAATTATTATTAACATACATAATTTATATTAGCATGTAAATGTTGTCTTTTAGTATATTATAATACAGGGTGTCCCAGAAATAAGTGCAAGCATTTTAAGGGGTGGTAGATCCTGATAAAAGAAACATATTTTCTCTTTATCGTTTTTCAAATAAGTCCAAAATAACGGAGTTATTTTACTTTAAAAATTTCTTCTTAAAAAAAAATCTTTTCTGGTTTTCCTTTCTTGTAAATTTAATCGACTACCTATGTTGCCCTATTATCAAGAAATTATGTTTTTGACTAAAAAATAAAAAAAAAATCCAAAAAATTCCGATTTTCCAAACATTTTTTTTCGCGAAAAAACCTCATAGGCGTGTTTCTGGGGTTGAACTATACTACAAGTTCAAATACTTGCACTTATTTCTGGGATACCCTATATAACTATAAACTATTTTTTTAAACTTAACATTATTTATATTAGATCTAAACATTTATTATGGCAACAAATATTTAAGATTTTAAATACATTTTTTTCTTATAGATATATGTTAAACTGATAAAAAGGCAGTGTTATAGCACCAAAAATACATGATAGTACTTTAAATAAATCAATATTTATAACTTCTATCGAAGTCGAGAAATTTTCTTTGCTTTGTCAACACAGGGTGGCGGTACAGGCGGTTTGTTGGTTAAATATCGATTGTAAGTTCTGAAAATATAAACAAAAAAATAGGAAATCTTTATCAGCCTTTCAAAATCATATATTCTATAGATGGATATGTAATATTCTATGTATGGTTGCACCATACATAGAATATTCAAAATAGGGAACTTGAATTATTTTTTTATATTTCTAAATCAATTCTGTTCTGTATAAAGGATGTAAATAAATAAGAGCTAAAAAATTCAGGAGATGAAAAAATAAACATCAAAAAAGTATACTTACATTCTGTATGCTTCGCTCCTCAAATAGTCTTGTAAATGGCTGATTCCCAAATTGAGTTGATCCAGTATTGGCGGTACCCAAACGTTACCTTCGAATCTGAATTCAGCTTTATTGGAAGCCATGTCCAAGTTGCCCAGTTCTGGCGGTAAAATGGTTAGACGGTTGCCTAAAAATGGAAAAAGGTAAAGTTCCTAGATGAATAGAGTACCATAACAGCCGTTTTAAACAGCCGCTACACTATCCCCGGAATATTTTACACAATATTTCTGGAAATATTTCGCAAAACATTTCTGAAAATAGTACGATAAATATAAGCCCGTGGTAAAAAATTAATTCACACATTTCCTGAAATTGACCGAGACCCGCCGTGATTAGTTGTTTGTGTTTTATTGTTAACCCAGATTAACTACAGTACGTCTGTCCGTTCTGTAGCTACGGGGTATCCGTGAGAGGGGAAACGATATTCTCTCGATGTTTCTCGTAAAAAATTAGACGAGGCGTCCCATCAATAAAAATTCAACAAATTTGCAAGTAGCCAATAAAATGAGTGGGCGGAGCGATTTTCGGTGACGTACTCGTCAAATCGACGTATAAAATATATTGCTGTTTATTTAAATGTTTTTTGTCCGCATTCCTTTCATAGACACAGATCCAGCAGACGTACTGTAAGTAAACAGGCGTCAGAAAAATTAGTAAACATGGAAAAACTGACATAAAAACAGTCTAGCTGTCTACTCTTTATCGGCTTATAATCCACGGCATTCCTCATGAACAAAATATACACAAAATTACTTAAAAAATCGTCTAAATATTTATTATTTCTGGTTATGGTAAAGTAACATTTATACAGTTGTCTGTAGTAAAGTTTAGTGTACAAATTTGGTTTTGTTTTTCTAGTTTTAGTAATAAATATTGGTTGAATGGATTTATATCAAACCATCCTGAGTGCTAATAAAAGTATCGTTTGCAGATTTGTCTTAAGAACAATAAAAGAACATTGCTTTTAAAAAATGATGTGCGTGGATCATACTTTTGTTGACATCGGGTCAATTAATAATTTTCACAAGCAGATAAATATTGATAATGTTACCAGTATTACTCATCAAGCAATACTACTGTTAAATTAATCAATTAAGGCGGTAAACAAACATATCATATACAATTTTATATACTAATTAATTATAATAAAATTAAATCATAAAAATATTGTAATTATTTATGCAGTTTAATTTATTATGCAGTTTAAGTGAAAAGTTTTGTTCCTAAATATCTACTATACATATAATAACCGCGTGTTCAAATATTAATTCTGTGGAATATATATCAATATAACATAAAACGAGATGTAATTAACGAAATATTATCGTAATAACAGCTATTTTAGAAACGTCTAGGTTTACTTATTTCACTGAGATTTATGAAAAAAAAATCCTTTGCCTCCGGTACAGATACCGCCACGTTTTGGAAATAGCTCAAAATAAAACAAAATTGAACGAGGCAACAAAAAACGCAAAAAAATCCCCCCTCGCCCTCCTGACGAGTAGTTTTCAGGCGCTTTTAAGAATCGAAAGTAGGTCGAGGCAAACCGAAGTAGGTCAAGACAACTGGAAATAAATCGAAATGCGTTCAAAGTTGGGCGAGGTTTGTTTATCACATTATTGATGACAATAAGGACTCAAGGAACCCAAAACATTATTAATACTAACCTTGTACATGCAACTCTCTAAGCCTACTAAGCTCCCCAATTTCTTTAGGTAGTTCAATAAGGTCGTTTTCGCGAAGACCCAACTGAAAATAAGATTAACATTACTTTCTTGAAAATACTACAAATAAATCATATTTTAATATATTTTCTACTTGAACGTTGCTCTAAGTACTAGACTAGAAATATTCACATCATCACCTTTAATATTTGTTAGGAAAAAATCATAGCATACTGTCTTCAACTTTCAAACAAAATAAAGCAATGTTTAACGAAAAATGAAGTACTGCAATATCTTCATATCTGATATACTATTTTTAAATAAACTAATACTTACAATTTCAAGATTCTTCAGGTTCTTAATTTCTGGAGGTAGTTTCTCAAAATCATTGTCTCCCAAGTAGAGAGCTCTTAGAGTTTCTAAAAACAATTAATATTACTCTAAGATACTTTTAGATATTAATTTTAAGATATCTTACGCATCATGAAGAAATTTCCTGGTAACGAATCTTCTTTCAAGTTATTATAAGTGAGATCCAGTATCTCCAGAACTGGAAAAGCACCAAAACCTCTTGGTAAAGTATCTAGCCTGTTTATTGATAGATTTAGAATCCTCAATTTTGGCATAGAAGATAGAGATAAGGGTAGTTCTTGTATTTGGTTATTAGCCAAATTTAGAATTTCCAAGTTGGTTAAGTTTGCCAATCCAGGTGGTATAGCTGAAATAAAGACAGGTAAATATAGATATCATCATAAATATGCAGAAAATTGTCCTGTTTTGAAACCTGCAGGATATCTTGAGTAAAATGTGTGATACTTACATCTTATTCTGTTGTGACTCAGAGTCAATCTGGTTACATTTGTCATATTTACTGAAAACAAAAAAAAATGATTTTAATATCATCTTATACTCTCTATGCGCTGATGCATCGATATGCTTTGTCCATGCGTCCATGCATGCATAGGGAATTTGATGCGGTTCGTTCATGCGATGCATCGATGCGGTTCTTCTTCTAATTTAATTTATTTTTAAAATTAATATAAATTTTTTGCTACCCAGGAAATGAAATTTAGCAGGATTTAAAAGATATAAATTTTCAAACGATTAAAATAATATTTTAATTAATTGAATCCAGTTAAAAAAAATTGAACGCCACTGATCAACCGGAAGTCGTCAGCCATATTAAAATATTAAATTTATTAGATATTTAAGTTGGGTATTACCTTAAGTTGAAACAATTGAAAATATGGACTTGGAAGATAGTGAAGTTGTTTTTTCGATGTTTTGAATAAATATTTGACGAGATTTTTAAATTCAAAACATAACCGCTCATCCCTAGTTAAAATGCGCGAACATGTATATCTGGTTGCATAACATTAAATTATACCCAGAGCGGTAAAATGTAATCGAAAATCCCGACCTTGATCGCAAACAACATACCAAATTAGGCAAAAACAAGGTAACGTCTTGCAACAACTGGGTACTTACGAAGTCCGGGCATCTCCTCGAACGTCGACACGCCCTTATCGAACAAATCCAGCTCGGGATTCCTGATTTCCCGGGCCTCTTCCAGCACTTTTTTCGCCTTCGACATTTTCGCGGTGTGCGGCAGACACGACACTGAAGAAGGCGCGGTTTCCATGACGGCAGAGGGCGGCAATTGTCAGTTCGCGGGCGTTTTTCAAAATTCAAACGTTATGCGCGTCAGTGCGGACGGCCAAAGCGGACTAGATGCGGCCGTCGTCGGCGGACCGGTTTCGAATGAGCGCTTTTTTCGATTTCCTAAGGACGAATAGGAATGGTTCTGTTCGAATAAACAGTGTAAATTATCGATACTTTATTTCGAGACCAAATAAATAGTTTTGATTAATAAGATAAATTCATCAGCAGTTCTGCAACAAGTCAGTCAAAAAACTTAAGTCTTAAGCTTAAGTCATTTCCAAAATTAAAATGGGGTGAACTTTCGTATAGCCGAAATCTGTTATATAAAAAATGACGGAATGTTATATAAAGAATAACGAAATATATAAATATATTTCCGGACTTTAGAATAGCCGAAATCTGTTACATTTATATCAATGTTTGTATTAAATTTTAGATATTTTTCCAATTATAAAAACACAAAAAAAACTGTGCGGAAACTTTTATTTTCATTTTATATAAAAATTTTATTTTTTGTGCTCAAGTCATGATTGTAGAAAACCCTGTCTTTTAATTTCCAGAATGCTCTTGAGAGGCTGCTGATTCTGTGCTGGATTTCAGAGTCGATATTTGCCATTTCCGAAATCAAACTGCCGAGGTAATTAAATTCCGATACATATTCCAATAGTTCTTCTCCGATTTTTATAGCGCTGTTATGATTTTTCGAGGGAGAGCACATTATATTAGTTTTATCGATGTTCAGTTTAAGGCCCAAAGTCTCCTATGCCCAGGTATATGTGTTCAGCATTTCCTGTAATTGCTGTAACGTATTTGCAACTAGAGAGAATACTCCCATTTTTTCTATATGTGGGCGAAGATGGTTTGACATATTTTTTGTGAGAACTGTTCCTCCGATAACCGGTAGTAAAATTCCTATCTTTTATAAAAACACTTAAATCTTTTTAACGATTTAAATATTTTTCTATTTTGGAATAAAGATTTAAATCAGAAATCATTTTGAAAAAGACTTAAATTTTAAGTCTAAAGTCAGCTTTTGAAAAGTGACTTAAAATCAAATGACTTAAATCAACAAAAGACTTAAGTTTTATGTGAGCTTGCAGCTCTGAATTCAAGTCACTTTATCAATGTGTCAAGTCAATTACCAAGACAACTAAACCAATGACATAATGAAAATACAATAATTTAAAAAGTTTCATTAAATATACAGATAAAAAATTAAATATAGATACAATAGACAAAAACAAACACTGTTAACCTATTATATTTGTGTAAACTCGGTTCAAATTTTTATGTATAATAATTGATATGTTTTATAAAAATATATTTTTATTTTTATAAAGCATTTTTCGATACAAGTAGGTAGGTAATTATTAATACTTTTTTTCGATACATCAAATTACTAGATATCGATACTTTACTGGTATCAAAACATTCCTAAGAAGTAAATTGTTTGGTTTCTCACTCGAGAACAGGTTTTCATTGGTCGTATTGTAATATCTGGATATGTGCCAAAAAAGTTTGTTTTCTGTAAATTTCTGAAAAATTTATTTTGTTTAAGCTGTTGTGAAATCGACTCAGAACGTACCTATAAAATAGTTATTTCGAAAGTAAAGTTATCAAGGTTTGAGGTAAAAATGCAAATGATACAACTGAAATTGGTTTGGATTTTATTTAATATATGTAAAGTAACTTCTATCCTACGCATATATCCTTATTTGATAGACTTGAATCCCACTAATATTTCAGTTAATTAATAGATACCTTTTCTTCACATTTGATCAATTATTTTATGACAGACAATTTAAGTAGCCTGCGATATTCTATTAAAGTAAAATAAAAGCATATTTGACTATAAATCATAGATTTAAGTGTCTTTGCTATAAACATATACAGACTTGTATACCTAGATAATAGACTAACCATATACAGGGTCCGGCAATGGTGCGTCGGGCATCTGTAGCTCCTAGAATAAAAAACTTGGGAATTTTGTTTTAATGCAAACCTTAATGTATGTACTCGAGTGTATTTCAAGAAAATATTTTAACTTCTACAGGGTATAACACCCTGTATATTATTGCATTTTTGGCTTCGTTTCTGATCGCTTTACAAATACAGTTTCAGAGATATTAATAAATAAATAAAACAAATATATTTTTTGATAATACAGTCTTTCTAAAAAAAATATTAAAAATACAAGAACTATCCTGAAATCAAAACTATATTAGGTATTTACTTTAGATAGTTTGTACTTACTTTGCTATAAATATCGGAATCTTAAATTATACAGGGTGTTCAAAATTCTACGCTAAACTTTCTAAAATATAAAATAATTTTTAGATAGTAGATTATTTTTTTCTTAGATGCAGAATTAAAAAATTAACTTTTTTTGTATTTAGAGTATTTCAAAAATTTTAACGGTTTCGCAGATACTCGCGGTATTATTTCATATGGCTCTTTCAACGGTAAAATACAAGAAAAAAATCATTGGGTGGCTTTGATAAAAATTTACTGTGGAAAATGCCATATGAAATATAAAACCACAAATATCTGCAAAAATTTTGAAGTACTCTAAATACAAAAAATGTTCATTTTTTAATTCTCCTTCTATTAAATAAATCATATACAGGGTGTTTCATTTAAAAAAATGAAGAAAAATTATTTTATATTTAAGAAAGTTTGTTTAGAATTTTGAACACCCTGTATGATTTCAGATTCCGATATTTATGCACAGTACAAAGGAGCTTAACAATAGCTGAAGAAGTGTGATACTGAGGTGGAGGAAAACTATTTAAATTATCATAGTTAAACTGTAACAAAATTATTTATCGATAAATTTTTGAAGTTGATGGCATATGTGTCCATCAGGAGTTTACCAATAGCTGAAGAAGTGTGATACTGGGATTGAGGGCATAAATTTCTTATGGAATATGGTTAATCATACTTAAAAATATTTAAATTGTCCAAGTCAAACTATAACAAAAACATTTAGCGATACATTTTCGAAGTCGATGGCATGTGTCCATCAGGAGCTTACCAATAGCTGAAGAAGTGTGATACTGAGGCGGAGAGGATAATTTTCTTATGAAATACAATTATTTATACTAAAAACTATTTAAATTATCATAGTTAAACTGTAACAAAATTATTTATCGATAAATTTTTGAAGTTGATGGCATGTGTCCATCAGGAGTTTACCAGTAGCCTGAAGAAGTGTGATACTGAGGTGGAGGGGATAATTTTCTTATGAAATACAATTATTTATACTGAAAACTATTTAAATTATCATAGTTAAACTGTAACAAAATTATTTATCGATAAATTTTTGAAGTTGATGGCATGTGTCCATCAGGAGTTTACCAGTAGCTGAAGAAGTGTGATACTGGGATTGAGGGCATAAATCTCTTATGGAATATGGTTAATAATACTTAAAAATATTTAAATTATCCAAGTTAAACTGTAACGAAAACATTTATCGATAAATTTTCGAACTCGATAGCATGTGTCCATCGGGAGCTTACCAATAGCTGAAGAAGTGTGATACTGAGGTGGAGAGGATATGTTTCTTATGAAATACAATTATTTATACTAAAAACTATTTAAATTATTATAGTTAAACTGTAACAAAATTATTTATCGATAAATTTTTGAAGTTGATGGCATGTGTCCATCAGGAGTTTACCAGTAGCTGAAGAAGTATGATACTGGGATTGAGGGCATAAATCTCTTATGGAATATGGTTAATAATACTTAAAAATATTTAATTTATCCAAGTCAAACTGTAACGAAAACATTTATCGATAAATTTTCGAAGTCGATGGCATGTGTCCATCAGGAGCTTACCAATAGCTGAAGAAGTGTGATACTGAGGCGGAGAGGATAATTTTCTTATGAAATACAATTATTTATACTGAAAACTATTTAAATTATTATAGTTAAACTGTAGCAAAATTATTTATCGATAAATTTTTGAAGTTGATGGCATGTGTCCATCAGGAGCTTACCAATAGCTGAAGAAGTGTGATACTGAGGTGGAGAGGATAATTTTCTTATGAAATACAATTATTTATACTGAAAACTATTTAAATTATCATAGTTAAACTGTAACAAAATTATTTATCGATAAATTTTTGAAGTTGATGGCATGTGTCCATCAGGAGCTTACCAATAGCTGAAGAAGTGTGATACTGAGGTGGAGAGGATAATTTTCTTATGAAATACAATTATTTATACTGAAAACTATTTAAATTATCATAGCTAAACTGTAACAAAATTATTTATCCATAAATTTTTGAAGTTGATGGCATGTGTCCATCAGGAGTTTACCAGTAGCTGAAGAAGTGTGATACTGGGATTGAGGGCATAAATCTCTTATGGAATATGGTTAATAATACTTAAAAATATTTAAATTATCCAAGTCAAACTGTAACGAACACATTTATCGATAAATTTTCGAAGTCGATAGCATGTGTCCATCAGGAGCTTACCAATAGCTGAAGAAGTGTGATACTGAGGTGGAGAGGATAATTTTCTTATGAAATACAATTATTTATACTGAAAACTATTTAAATTATCATAGTTAAACTGCAACAAAATTATTTATCGATAAATTTTTGAAGTTGATGGCATGTGTCCATCAGGAGTTTACCAATAGCTGAAGAAGTGTGATACTGGGATTGAGGGCACAAATTTGTTATGGAATATGGTTAATCATACCTAAAAATATTTAAATTATCCAAGTCAAACTATAACAAAAACATTTATCGATAAATTTTCGAAGTCGATGGCATGTGTCCATCAGGAGCTTACCAATAGCTGAAGAAGTGTGATACTGAGGTGGAGAGGATAATTTTCTTATGAAATACAATTATTTATACTGAAAACTATTTAAATTATCATAGTTAAACTGTAACAAAATGATTTATCGATAAATTTTTGAAGTTGATGGCATGTGTCCATCAGGAGCTTACCAACAGCTGAAGAAGTATGATACTGAGGTGGAGAGGATAATTTTCTTATGAAATACAATTATTTATACTGAAAACTATTTAAATTATCATAGTTAAACTGTAACAAAATTAT